GTGAAGTTCTCCATAGACTGTCTTACCACATAGTGAAGGAGCAGTCACAAACGAACTGCGGCAGGAAACCAAGTGAAGGCCTCAAACGGCAACGAACATAACCCAGGTGGAGTACTTGTAATGCTGCTTCACAGAAGATGTGCCAACCGCACTAATAAGTTACCTACCAAGTAATGGGCTTCTGTGAGGTAGTATAAGTCGCCATTTTCCTGAACTTGGTTCTGATGATTCTTCAATATCTCTCTAGTTGATCGTATAGCCAACATTACAGTACGTAGCCTTAAAATGTGGATTGGTTACCTTGTCCGAAAATCAGCATGGACCCACCCAACATATAATGAATAAGGACTAAACCTGTTCCAGCACGCAGGCGATGCCATTTCGACTTCAACAGAGCTCTCATTGTTTTTAAGCTGACTGACTGAAGCAACTCTTCTTTGTGAAAACATGAAACAGCACTGCAAGAAGAATTTTCGAGCACTTCGAATAATGCCACACTATAGCTAGGTTCCGTTGAAAGAATTCAGTATAATATAAGAAATACAAAATCGGAGAAAAAGAACCAAAAAATACCAATGATCTTCACCTTTGAGTCACAATGGCAGCACGTAAGGCGTCAAATAAGAGATGCTTTCCGGGGTCACGTACCACACACGCATTAGTACGGACTCTCCGTAAATTCTTCACTACGGCACATTCCGCGCAGCGAGGTCCGTATTTTTCCGAAATATGTGAAATATGCCGAAATAGAAGATCAGAGCCGATCATTTCGTCCGGATACAGCCTATGCAGTCGACCTCCATTGAACTTCTGGAGGCATTCTTGCGACAGTGTCTGAAACGACACAAAAACGATGGAGAAGGGGAAGATAGAACCTAGCTTATAGAAACTATAATAAAACTAACACTGGAATAAAGCCAGTAAAAATAGCAACTAACATGTAAACAGGCAACTGCGTTGGTTTTAGGCTTACAGGCATCTGACGAAGGATACCGCAGCGCACGAAAAATGTCAGACGCGTCAGAGAAGCGGTGTGGAAGAGATGGGAGCTGCCCCGAGATGGACAGAAAAGTAAACAGCTAGAAATAAACGATGTGGAATGGAACGCGCAAGCCTATGCTGCTTTACCGCACGTTTTTCCCCAATAACAGCTTATCATGTCTATAAAAGCTGTTGTTGATGGGCGGTCGTCTCATTCTCTACGGTGCCTCTTCTTGACGATCCGTCAGAAAGCATTCGTTCAGCTTGAGCTGTTACTTCGAAACAAAGACTGGTAAGTGCAAGCGTTCGAGCTGTTCCTTAAACTTGGCCCAGCTGCAATAGCTATTCTGGTCGCCAATGAGCCCTTCCTCTGACTGCTCTTCTCTTGTTTTCAGAAAGATGTCCGAAGACCACAGATCGTCGTTCTGGCATATGTCTCGAATGATGGATCGCATTATGGACGAATACATAAGGGATATGCAGAGAAATTGCAACCAGCCCATTGCACCATATTGGCGCGCCGCCGATCACTCAGTTCTGCAAGTTGCAAACGATGCACACCAGGTAAGCAGAGTCTCAGATGCGCGTTACATTACTTTGCGCGAGGCAAGCCGTACGCCGCTACGCATTGCGCCGCCATTGCTTTTGAAAGGCTAGAAAGAAAGTACAAGAACATATCACCGCCCTGCAAGATTGCAGAAAAAGAATCGAAAGCATGGCTTTTGAAAGAATTCGCGTCGCAACACCCGTCTTACTGCTCTTCCATTCTTCAGATCGATACGGGTACTTTTCGCTCATGCAAGTTGGCCACTTCTAAGCTTAGGCCCAGTGGGGTTGCAGTGGAGCACGAGTCGGGTATCAGCCCCGCCCCCCCCCCCCCTTGTGAGAGCTGGGATTGAGTCAAACACCGTCAATGAACACGTCGCGTGGACGTCAGTGACAGCTTCTTCCACCTGCAAAAAAGTAATGCATCAGAGCGCGCGAAGAGCTACGTCTAATTGACCTCGTAAGGCAAAGTTCTATGAAAACTGCCAAGATTCTTGCTAGAACCACTGTCGCTGTTCGCCTATCCCTTGCTCATCAGCTCTAGTGGTTGGCTGGAGCTGCATGGGCGGAGCTTCCGCCTTCCAGCATAGAAGCGAGGACCCCTGCGAGTAACGAAGATAGCATACAGCCCTTGAGGGTTTTGAAGTATTTCAAATGTGTTTTGCTGTTTTCTAGGCCCGCAGGGGCCACTGTTACCGCTTTTCCCACTTACCAAAAAAACCTGTGATTAGAACTGTCAGTTTACGGGGCCCTTCAGGTTGTTGACGATGACAAGAAGTTTGCTGTCTCGTTGGATGTTTCACAGTTCAAGCCAGAAGAGCTGAAGGTTAATTTGGATGGCAGGTTGTTGACAATTGAAGGCAAGCAGGAATGCAAGAATGAGAACAGCTTCATGGCTAGGTACGACCAAGAGATCCTACGAGATTCTGAGACCAACACTGCCAGTATTTTCAGGCAATTTGTCCGTTCCTGGACTCTACCTGAAGACGTGAATTTGGAAGGTCTGAAAACTGATCTTAGCGATAAAGGCAAACTCACCATTGAAGCTCCAAAGATCCCGAACACTTCAAGGAAGAACATTCCCATTATGCAGCAACAGAGTCACAGCACCCACATTCACTCCCACAGCCACAGTCACGGTCAAAGTGATAATTAGGCCAAAGTTATCCTCACACGCCCAGAACGAATCCGTCGGGTTTTGGTTGTTTCTGGTTAACTTCACACAATTTTAACGTTCTCAGATTCTTCATGGGCGAGTAGGCAACCATCTCAATGTGAAGTGCCGCACATTTCACTTATTAGACCAGCCATTCCTTCCGTGTAAAATATTGTATGGGTGCCTGTGGAATAAAGGTATTTAAAGGAAGTTTTGAATACTATAGATTTGAAGATGCTAATGCAGTTGGGGGAGGGGGGGGACGAGACTGGGCTACGCCGCTTCTCTGCCTGTCTGGGCTATCACCACCTTTGAAAATTTTTCCAGATACTGTCTCATCGAGAGGACTCAGACAGGCAGATAAGCTGTGCGCTCTCCACCTCCTCCTTCTTTGATCGGTGTTTACCTCCTTTCAACACCCAGAACTACCTAGCACGCCGCCGAATGGAGAACCGCGTTCCAGGGATCGGATACACCGGCGCTGCTTCTTTTGCTTAATGCGGGCCATGGGCGGAAACTGACTCCAATTCGTAAGGTAGCCGATGCCTGGTTTACCCTCTGCGTGCTAGTTAATGTGACCACGATAACTTTCGGTCTTACACGCCTTAACTTCTGTCTGGCGGCGACTGCGGTGGCTCATTAACCGTTCAAGTCCTACTAAGCTGCTTGAAGGCAGCGAGCGCTAACGGTTAGCTATCATGGGCGGGAGGGTGGGTCTTTCGCACTTACTCTTCTCTTTGGCCGTATTGACAGAGGCGAGCAAGATTGGAAGGCAGCAGCGTTTACCCCTTCGCCACGGTGGTGGTCTTGTATCTTGAAAGTTCAAGTTCGATCTCGATCAAGCAAAGATGGCGGAGGAGTACAGCTGGCTGCTAGAAAGCTTCTAAGTTCGTCACAGGGAGTTTTTGGGCCCCGGCACTGTGAGGTGACCAGAGAAGATACGTACTAGGTGGTTGTGCGCCGATGTCGGTGTGGGAGTCGGTTTGCTGGTCGTGGAATGCAGGTGTGCTGAGGCCTGCCGACCGAAAAGCGCGAACAAGAAACAGATCGTGATTATTGCCGCGTCATACGCGTGCGCACCGTGTCGGCGCGGTTTGTATAAGTCCAAGTATGCCGCTTGGGGCTGTGTCGAGCTCCATGTGGAAATCCAAGTAGAGGCTTCCAAATGAGGAGCTCTATGTAGAACTGCACTCTTTTGTCGGTTCTGACGACAACTTGAACTCAATCGCCTTTGAAGTGCTCGAACATCTCTTTTTCTTCGTGGACACCCTTCGTCCTTGTTGCATTCCTGTTGGGCTCATTGTGACCTCACATAATCGCAGTTTTTTCGGCAAACATGGTGAGGTGTCTCACAATACCTGGATCCTGAGTGGCCTCACCCACTTCTGGAAGTCCTCCGCTTCAAAAAACGGCCCGCTTCCCTTGATCGGCATATCGTTTTGGCAGGTTCCTGATATTGGCAGGCCGTCTGTCCGCTCTAGAGTAACAGGACCGCGCACCAAAAGTTTCAAGACTCCATAAACACTTTGTCAAGCCGCCATTTTGTGTGGCAAATTGACTAGGCAGCACAACTGCGTCTGCGGTACGGCGCGGCGCTCTCTCGCCACATACCACCAGCGCGGCTATTACGTTTGCCTTCGTTACCCACCAGTCGTTGAAAAGATAGAACGACCGTAATGAAGTGCATAAACCTCAGTTCACTCCAGCAGTAATGTTGCCAGAATAAGCTTATCATGCCTATAAATACGTTGTTGATGAAGAAGTCATCTCATTCCTCACCTGAATCTCGTTTACGACTCGTCGGGAGCATCCGGTTGTTTCGTGCTGCACCCCTAGAACGAACAGTGCATGGTAAGTACCAAAGTTTACCGCCGTTGATCTTGATCTTGGCACAACTGGTAAGAGGCTATTCTCAGGACTCCAAGAAGTCTGCACTCTAATGAAGTTGTTTCCGTTTCAGAAAGATGTCCTCCCAAGACCCCAACAAGTCCGCGTTTTGGCATATGTCTCGAATGATGGATCGCATCTTGGACGAGTATATGAAGGAGATGCGTAGGACTTCAAATCAGCCCATTGCCGATCACTCGGTGTTGCAGGCTGCAAATATTGCGCATCAGGTAAGTAGAGGTCCTACGGGGTTTGACGTGGCTGGACATGCGGTGGCTAAGACTCCTCAAGATGTCCCACCTTCACCCCCCTCCCCCCACGAGATGCATGGCACCCCCGCATGCAAGATGGACACGTGGGCCAACCAGCTTCAACGTCAAATTGCAGGATTTCATTTTTGATACGTGATTAGAGGGAACGATCCAGGGGCTATTCCTTGTTCATGATCATTCTACGCAGCAAGGCGAACCAGTGGGCGGGCAGGGGCGGAGCTCCCGCTCTTCGTTTGACCGTCGCGTAATATTCCCTTGGACGAAAACAGCCCAGCTGGCTGAGGCCGATGAAGGCTGATAACCATGGGTAGTGAAAAGAAAATGGAAGGTGTGAGGTCTTATTCAGAAGCTTTTTAGGTTGATGATGATAAAAAGTTCGCTGTCTCGATGGATGTGTCGCAGTTCAAGCCAGAAGAGCTGAAGGTCAACCTGGATGGCAGAATGCTGACTGTTGAGGGGAAACAGGAGAGCAAAGGCGAGAACACCTTCATGGCCAGGTGAAACCAGGTGATCTTACGAGTTGGCCTCGGTCTAACAATATCAACATTTTCAGGTCATTCGTCCGCTCTTGGTATCTCCCGGAAGACATAGATGTGGATCGCCTGAAAACTGATCTTAGCGATAAAGGCAAACTCACCATTGAAGCTCCAAAGATCCCGAACACTTCAAAAAGGAACATTCCCATTCAACAGCAGAGTCAAAGCACCCGCAGCCAGAGCCGCAGTCACTCCCAAAAGCGCTCACGCAGTGAGAGCAAAAGTGAACACTAGGCAAAAATTACCCTCTCATACACCCTGAACGAATCCGTCGGGTTGTTCTCGGTTAGCGTCACTAATTTAACGTCCTCAGATTCTTCGTGGGCGGATAAGTAGCTATCTCATAGTGGGATTCTGCCCGTTCTACTTATTACACCAGCTGTTTGGTCCTCTGCATGCCACTTCATGTGAAAAGTTGTGTTGGCGCCGGTGCAATAAATGTTTCTAGAGAACTGTTGAATGTAGCAGAAAAGAAGCGAGTTTTTACAGTAGTCAAATGCGTGATGCCGAACGGAGTCCAGGTGGGCAATGGTGACGCTCACATCACACTGATGGGTCCTGGATAGAATTTTAGTCCCGCTATCGTCAATTAACAATACGATCTTCTGCGGGACCATTTCTTTTAATCAGACCTCTGAATGTCATGGGTACTGGAGCAAGGGATCACAGGCGGATCCAGACGTCATACGCTGAACATCCAGGGCAAGGATGCTCGTATTTTGTAGCTGGAGGGAAAGGGCTCACGAGATTTTTTTTGTGAAAAAATTTTTTCGGCTTAATTGTTCTCGATTTTTCATGTACAGTTCTCTGAACCCTTTTCCCTTCTTCGCACTCCCCACCCGCCCCGCTGCCCCCACCCCCTTACCCTCTCTAATATCGCTCAACGGCAACTCTCTGGGCAAAACATAGAGCCTTCCTGGCTAAAAGCTCCTGAAAGCTGATAGGGAGGTGGGCAATTTCAAGATAGCTAGAGGGGGGAAGCGGGATCGAGAAGTGAGGTCGCACCGGGACGAAGAATTTTGAGGGGAGGTCGCATTAAAAAAAATTCTCCACAACGGCTGGACGTGCCGCGTACTGTACACAGATATTGAAAGGTCCCGTAGTATCAGTATCCAGTATCAATGTACCGAGAAACGCGTAACTTAAAGGCAGTTGGCGCGATAAATCTCTAAAGACGATTAGGATTAATATGCCAAGCAGGACGGAACTGCGCCTCTGAGCAGGCGCTGCGTGCCCTTCCCAAAGAAGGTACCCTTATAACAGGGCCCCGATCAAGCTTTTAAGACATACCGACCCGAATGCGCACCATGCCCGCCCGCCCACAAATGGACGACCGTTCCTGACGCTCTTATTGATTCATTTGCCAAGCAAATTATGAAGAGAGGGGGTTGGTATGGAACGACGGTGGTGCTGCATGAAGTACTGGGTACACACATACAGCCGTATCTTCGGTAGCGGGTATTGGCAAGATGCCTAAGGGAAACTCGTCCGAAATTGATTTTTGAGTCATTGAGAACGAAGGCTTTCTTCTCCGCAGCATTTTGGCCTTTTCACTTCGTTCTTTTCGCCGTTTTCCCCACTGCATAACGGCCCCGAGAATTTTAGCCCGAGAACCAAATTTTCGTGCCAACTGCCTTCAAAGGCCCATTCTACGCACGTCTTGGAGGCCGAGTTGTGCCTAGGTCGATCGATCGCCGGAAGCGCTCACTCATCTTTAACACCACAGAAAGAAAAAGGTGCGAATAAAGGAGGCCAACGTTAGCTCCAACTCCGCTCTGATAACCTGTATGGTTTGAGTCCCTTAAACAAACAGTACCGCTCACTAGGGAACCACACCTCTGACGATCAGCACGCTGAACGTTTTACTATTTGGTGAAAACTTTGAAAAGTATTTAATGGTTTTCGAAGGCGTGGATAAGGGGGGGGGGGGGGGAAAGTTCTCGCCTGTTCTCTGTAGAATAGCATTGTTGTGTTCTTCGAGACGGCTCTGGCAAAGAGAATTCGGAAAGAGCACACCATAACTCTCGTGAATAAGTCACGATCCCATAAATCGTGCGAAGGATGCGCGGCATCCGTCGCCACAGTTACCATCCTCTTTCGAACGATAATGTAACTGTAGATCTCTACCTAAAGTCCTTCGCGCTCACATAATCTTGTTTGCTCAAACGATCAAACGTCCCGCATCAGTAACGCCTGTGCATGGCCCGTTGACCAGGGGTATCGGATTTCTTTTAGGGGGGGGCAGATGATGTCGCTCACCTTAATGTCCCACTAAACATGCATTCAAGATCGATTAGTTGTTTATAAAAGTTTAGCTTCCCAGTTTGTTCGATCCGCCCTCACCTCCCCCTCATTCACAGGAACAAACTCATTGAAAAGCGTTTCTTCTGCTAATCTTCGATCGAAACGCTGTTAAAACTATCAAATCAAATTGAAAATGATCTTCAAAACGATCACGAATTATGGCAACCACGTGCCAACGCAAGAACTTCTTCGATTACCCACGATTCTGTGGTAGATGTCGCAGCAATCCAGCCACTGATCACTGTCCCCTCCATTCTCGCCGACAGGAGCCGTGGCTGCGACAGTGGGTAGAGTCCGTACGCCTGTATGAGCAATATGTTTAGGATCGTGCCTCGCAAGGGAGGGATATCGTCACAATTCAGCGGTTACTGTCAAGGGAGAGCCTGCGGGAGCTCACCCACGACTGCGTTTTCTACCAATAGTGGCCAGTTTAAATGGAAAATAGGCAATGCTAGGAAACGTCGTTAGTGGGCCTATTCTGCACCTCCTACACCTCCCAGCGGATTGCGACGATATCAGCTGTACATAGTTTCTGCTGTTTCATTTTGTGGACTGCTCTAATCCTCGAATTAGCAGCAGGGCAGGGTCGTACGTTGGGGATCCCGGGAGTCGTATTTGGTAGGGAGGTGGGGGGGCTAAGGGGGTCGTACTTGCCTCTGAGAAAATCGTTTTCGATTAATGGCTTCTGGCAGCTTTTCCCGTTCCACGTGCGCTGTATCTCTTCCTCCTCCCACGTACGCCCGCTCAACAGCAGCCTTTCTGGAAAAAAAACTCTGAAAAAGTGGTAGGAGTTTGGGTAAAGCTGGGGAGATAATAGGTGGGATAGGGATGGGAAGAGTCGCATCAGAGGAGGAACTTTCGAAGGAACGTCGTATTTTGAGAAGAAAATTCTCACATTGGCAGGTCGTGCCCTGATTGAAAGGCAGGAGAACTACAGGAGAACATGAACATGAACCTGGCTGAGCCAGGAAGATTTGCAGTGCCATCGGAAGGCACAAGTTGTTCTCGATCAACTCAAACTCGATCAGCGCCCCAAACCGTACGGTTATTCAGATGACCAAGACTACTGAGGGGTATAAGAGCACGTTTTGAACTTCATTCGTTTTCGGAATGAAGTACTGACGAGGATGTCCAACAAGATGGTTTTCGTAGCCTAAAGCCAAGGGGATTCGAAGGCCAAGTGCCTGGGCTCTGTCACGTTCGCAATGTCCTCTATGTTCTCCCCATCTTTATCCTCTGAACAAAGTAGTGTGCCCTCAAACCCCTTATGCCTATTAACCGTTCAGATGTAGTCTTCAGAGATCGCTTGATTATCTCTTGGCCGCACGATCAATCTTTGGCGATCTGTCATGAGATTTCCATGCATGATATCATAGAAGGTCACCAGAGGAACAAATGAGGCATGACACGACATGGGAGGCCGGAGTAACTGGTATGCATTACTGTTCCTCGGATGAAAAAGGGCAAACTACTTATTGTTAATCGGCGCCGTTCAGATGCCTACGTTATTGACTTTCATTCAGGATATGTTGGTTTTTAATGTCTATGGGACCGGTCTGATGGTTTGTGAAGGTCGGTTCATTTTCCAGCACAGCTTTTTTGGCAGCGGTCCAAGGAGGAACGTGCCTTTTGATTTGCACATACATATTAAACGCGCGTCAGCCTAAGTACTGTAGCTGCCCCAGCTCGCCAAGAGCAGAAAAGGCAAAAAATAAAATTTTAAAAAGTCGCCACAGAATGTGCAAAACACTAAAACTTACACTGGAGCAGTTCGGCTTGGAGGGTTTACTTTACGGCCCTAGGTAAGCCTTTACAGGCTATCTTGTCAAGACCTGTTATCAAAGTAGCTCACACCTGCCATTTCGCAGCATCACATGCTTTACAGGGGGTCTTAAAATGAGACCTGGTATTTATCATGAACAAACAACGGAACTAGCGAAAATGAAAATGCCCCCTCGAAGCCGAGCAGCGATGTAATATTACGAGTATAACTTTTGAACTTTTGTGATGAAAAGAACGTCAAGATGAAAAGTAAAAGCTCTTTCTGTGATGCAATGGATAGCGCACTCAGGGCACCTGCCATTGCGGTAAACTTGCGCAGAATACGACCCCTCCAGAAAATCCTCCCAGGCACGCCCCTTGCCTCTCAGCCTCATAGCGATTCTGGCTTCATATACATCGTTCATTCCTTCCAACCTCGCACCACACTTTTTCTGAGTTCGAAAACTACAGAAGTTCACGCCTTTCCCTCAGCAAATCGCCGTAGAGTGGAGGGGAGTGGGAGGGGGTAGGTGAGGCGGGGGGGGTCTACGGACAACTTGAACTCATTCCCTTTGAACGTGTCGATGTTCTCTTTTTCTCTGCACTCTCTCATCCGCATGACACCGTAGGGCCGTTGTGACTTCGCTTATTCCAGCTTCTCGCCGATTACAAGTAGCGGAGAGGGGGGGGAGTAGATCCTTGATACGGTGAAAGCAGAAAAAGTATCAAAGCAGCCGAAAAGGTTCTCTCAAGGATCCCCTCCTTGAGTGACAAAATACGACCCCCCCCCTCCTGCTGGAGCTCCATCGCGACGTGTCGTGGCGCACAGGCTTCGGTAAGCGCTCGGTCCAAGTTCGTTCAGTTGCTAGACGAAGCGTTCCGCCCTCAACTCAGAAACCTTGCCATGGATATCAGTTTTCACCTGTTAGGGCTTGTTATGGTTTGTTTAGTCCTTATAAAAAGTGACCATAGTCAATAGAAAATAGATTCTTAATGGGGTTCTGAGGGGGGGGGGGTGAGGTGCTAGATAAGAAACAAGGACAAATAGCCATCGAACAGACTGCGCATTGGACCGTATCGTTGGTCCACCAGGTGCGCGTAATTTGCAGGGCTTTACGATCCATCCAGGTGCAGGCAGAGGGCTCAGATTTCACAGCGAATCAGGACCG